ACAAGAGTACTGTATCTTTTTTCTGTGGCTTTTTGAATTTGTTGATGGAGGAGTAATGAGTTTTCTATATAGCATGCATGGTAAAGCTGTTTCCAAATATCTTATGTATATGAAATCTATTTATCTAAAGAATCTAGTAAGAAAATTAATTGAAGGTTGACTTTGTGTTTTAAAATTAATGAGTTAATTTGGTCATTAATAGAAACTATGCTATTTAATGTTTTTCTCTTAACAATTTTAATTAAGTGACTAAGTTTTTTAAATGATATGTAAAGTGAAGTGCAGTGTGGAGTAAATTGGTAATTATAACTATGCTTATGATTAATTTTGTTAGAAATAGTTTGAGTTGCAGTATATAAAATTGAGTGTTCAATTTTATACTATATAGTTTCAAGACTATCTGAGGTATTAATAATAAGAAGAGTTTGGTTTGATTGTAGTTGAGTTGATAGGAGGTCTAAGAATTCAGTCTATTTTTCTGTTATCATTTCTTTATAGTTAATGATTTTGTGACTAATATCAGTACACTGTTGTGAAGATTTGCTATATGTATTTAGAAAAGTCTAAGAGGTAGACAAGATATAATGATTACTAAGAGTATTTGTTTTGCTATCATTAAGATTATATAATAAAAGAAATTGAATATTAAATTGGTCTGGCTAGATATAGTCAATTCGGCTATTACTAGTATTATTTGACCAAGTATAGTGGGTATTGTTAAAGTAAGCATCAATATCAAACATATTAGAACTATTTAAATAGTTAATAAGTTTGTATTTAGCAAAGGAGCTAAATGTGATATCATGGGTGTTGAAATCACCTAATATAATTAGATAAAAATTTTGTTATAATGCTGTTTAAATCTATTTAATAACAGTGTCTTGAGTAGTATTTCTTCTTGTTGAATCTGTAGATAAAAGGTAAGCAGATATAATACGAAGTTTAATATTACTTTTAAAAAGAGATCAATAGCTACTGCTTCTTCTAGATGAGTTAAACAGCTATATACATGAGGTTTAAGATGGTTGTAAATCATAATAGCTGTGCCTTTAGCTGAGTTATCAGAATTGGCCTAGTAGTAGGTAAATAAATTATTGTTGCAAAAAAATAAATTGGACTTATTTGCAATCCTGGTTTCAGTGATACTAGCAATTGCAATATTATTGTGAAGGCAGTAATTTTGCCAAGCTTCTTTTTTGGTAGATATATTAAATTCTCTAATGTTATGAATTGTGATAGTAAGGTATAGATAATGATTTAGATTGGAGTTAGATAGAAAGTAATTTGAAAAGTTAGATGAGTATGAGAGTTTACTATCAAAAGTAGTGAATAACTCAGTTTGAATACTGTTAAAATTAGTAGATGTTAAAAATAAGATAGATGAGATTAGAATATTATTAGTAAAGTTATGTAATAGTGAGAGTAAGTCTGTAGGTAGAGATTTAAGTTCTTCATCAGAAGTTATAGATGATAAAATTGGAGATATGTTTGTATATAATTTAAGAGATATATTGTATATATTTAGTATTAATAGTAAAATGTGATCTGGCAGTAATTTAGTTTTATATAGTAAATAAATATATGCTTCTTTTCTGTTTTTAGATAGTGAGATAGCAGCAAATTTTTTAAGATATAATGTGTGAATGCTGAGATGAGAATAGAAGGATTGTAGAGTTTGGAGTCCTTTAAGAAGAGAAAGTTTGTAATATGATAAGTATTTGTTATAGCATGCATCCAAATTATAGGAGTCTAAAGATGTTGAAGAAAATTTAAATAAATATTTTTTTGTAAAGTCGCTTGTCGTTTTAAGCCTAATTCTTATGGCTGCAAAGAGTGCTAAAGTTTGTTCTGTGTATTGTGTCTGCTTGTCATTATCTTGATTTTTCACGTAATATTTTGTTGAACTTTTTACATAATACTTTATTAAAAAATTATATAAAATTCAAATTCTAGCTATATGATCATCTCAAAACTAAAACAAGAAATAATTTTACTTAATCATAGTATTAATTAGAGAGCTATCTGACTATTCTCTAATTATAATTAAAAGTCTACTTCTAATATTATAAACTTTAAACTTAACAGGTTTAGATCACAAATAACTTCTATAACTTTTGAGTTAACAAGAGCTCTGTCTGAGTTTCTAGTCTTAGTATCTTATAGATATAAAGTTTAAATAATGTAATTTCTTTATTTAATTATTTGTAAAGAAGTTTAATTAGATTTTAATAAAGATAGAGGCATAGCCTTACCTTTGAAAATTAAAAAAAAAACTTTAAACTTAATTAACTTAAATCTTTTAAATTAAAATCTTATTTAATAAATTAATAACTCATTATCTCTATTATTTATATTATTTTAATCTTTTTAAAACTCTAATTGTTTTTTTTACAATTCTTTAGATTTATTCTTACACTAATATTATTAGTATAACTCTAAACTACTTTATCAAATTATTATTTCTACTACTATTCAGTATTTTAATTTAGCTAAATTAGATCTTACAAACAAGCAGCTAGAAAAATATATTTATAAAATTTACAACTACAAAACATTTCATTAAACTGCTTTTCAACTATACTTATATTATTTGAAAATTACACTTAAGAGTCTGATTTTTATATTATTAATTAAAACTATTTAAAATTATAACATCTTATACAAGTTTGCTTTCTAATTAGTCATTAATTTGTTATTTAAAATAAATAAACAAATATATAAACAATTATAAAAACCTTATTGTATTAACTTTTCTAGTTAGAAAAAATAAAATTAATTTAACTATCTATATTTTAATATTTTAAGCTTCTTGCAACAGCTTGAGACTTCAAATGCACTACAACAATCTGATTCTCATAATTTATTATATACATTTGTTATAACTAAATATGTATATACAACTTATATTTACTTATATATATGAAGAATCTAATCAACTATATACTCATTCTGATACTTGTCTATCTGCTGATCAGGTAAAAAAAAATAATATTTAGTCTGTTTATTAAACCAAATACTGTACAATATACCATTTAACTATATTTTAATCATCACAATCTAGATAAACTTTTGACTATTCTAATAAATTTAGATCACAGATAAATTAGTCTAAGCCTTTATTTTTGCAATGTAATTTTATTTTATTTGTACTCTTATAAATAGTAGTAATTTCAGTTATTATTATTAAATAAAGTTATTAATAAAGTTATAAGCAAGATCTCATCTTAATACCAAAAAAATTTTAATTATTAATAATATTAAAATAAATAATATTAAACTATTTTATACTTTATAATAATTTTTTTATATAAAAATTTAAATATATAATTTTTAAGGTTTTAATTTTTAAAACATACTTAATTTAATACAAAAATACAAATTCAAATTATTAAAATTTAATTTAACTAATTATAAAAACTAATTACTTTTATATAATTTTATTAAAACTTTTAATTTATTTTTAATATATAAGATATAATAATTTTACATAATTAAATAATATTATTTAAAATACAATTAGCAATATTTTGTAGTAATACTATAATTAAAATTAATTTTGAAATAATTTTTATTAAATTTATCAAAAAAATATTTTTTAAATTTTAATATATAAAATAAATTATTTTTAAATCAAATATAATATAAAAAACCTTAACTATAGATTATTAATTGATTAAATAATCAATTGATTATATAATCAATTGATTATATAATCAATTGATTAATAATCAATTATATAATAATTACAGTAATTTATTACTGTAATACAGTATATACAGCAGTTACTAAGATTTTTTATATTTGATTCTTGTTTTTAATATAAAATAGTATTCAACTCTATATTTGATTCTATTTCTTAAATATAGATTAAATACTATAATATATTATGAAAAATAATTTTATTTATACATTATATATGATATAATATCTAAATGTAAATATTTATATTTTTTTAATTAACGTTATTATCGCCCGGATCAAAAGTATTTGATCATTAAATCATGTGGCGTTAAAATGTCCAACCAAATTTTGGGTTTCTTTTTTAAGTATTCTCATTATTTGAACTCTATATGTAAATTAAATCTAGCATTAGCTAGAATACAAATAATAACGAAAAACGTGAAAAAAGAAAAACATGAAAAAACGTGCCAAAAATAAAAAAATCAAATTTGGTAAGTCAGTAACAACATAGCCATACGCATTGTACCAGAAAATACCATATAAGGAATTAAAAATCCATTTATAACAAGTGATTTACGTCATTATTCTCTTTTGGAAATAATGCGTCAAATTTAAGACCAGCCGCAGCCTTCTTGATACTATAAAAAGAACATAATATGAACAGGCAGGCAATGCTAGACGATTACCTAACTTCAGCATTACAATAAACATTTTTACGTAATATAAGATAAATAAAGGACTGTGGTATTTTAAAGTACAGTCTGATAAGAAGACTCGGGAAATATTTGTAGGCAACAATACAGTAAGTAAAAATTGGTGAGGTAAAATCTCAAGCATTGATTACATAAATGATTACATCGCCTAACTTATGTTTACTATTTCTAGATTTGCAAGATAAGTTTATTATTGTTGAAAATTTTATCATTTATTTATTTACTTTTTTTCATACAAATTTGATCGCAAGCGTTAAACGGACTGTAAACTGCTGACTAATGTATCGGGAATTTACAATTACTAGATTTGTACTTGTATTTTCTACGCTTAGATTGCCGGTCTTCAAAATTGTATACCCGTTTACTTCTTGGATGTAAATCACAGTGGATTTACAAGCCAGCAGTTTACAACGAGTTATTTCGTAAAATAGTATAATTTGGAAATAATTTATAGTATTGATATTTCAAATAGATTGATGAATGTATTGAAAGAAAAGAAAATCATTAAATTTTATTTGATGTTAAAAAGAATGTAAAGTCATATTTAAATAAATAAAAATGTTTAAAAATACATATCATCGTGTGAAATTAATTTCTTTAGATATTTTAAATATTCACAGCGTGATCAATCTCGAAAACATTTAAATAATGTTCTATTTTTTTTTCTTAAAAATGTTTTTACGAAAAATTATCAATATATAATTCTGCAAAGAACACTTTGTAAAATTATTCCAATGACTATGGAGAAACCTATGACAAAAGGACTGACGGTAAAGGATACAGTGTTACTAAGGGTGGGTGGGGTGGCAAGTGAAGTGGGATGATTAGAACTCGGTGAATTTAAAGAAGTTTGGCTTAAAGCATTGGCAGAAGCTTGAGAGATAGTGCCAGCAGTCGGGTTAGGAATCGAAGTACCACCAGCCGGGTTAGGTGTTGGAGTGCCAGCAATAGGATTTGGATTAGAAGGGTTAGCATTTGGATTGGAAGGGTTGGAAGGGTTAGCATTTGGATTGGGAGTATTTGCTGGATTTTGAGGATTAGCATTTGGGTTAGCATTTGGATCATTTGGATTGGAAGGGTTAGCGTTTGGGTTGGAAGGGTTAGCGTTTGGGTTGGAAGGGTTAGCATTCGGATTAGGAGTATTTGCTGGATTTTGAGGATTAGCATTTGGAGTAGGTGTACGTTCAGGAGCTGAACCACCAGTTTGTTGTGGTTGCGGGAGATGATGACGAATTTTTAAAACTGCTTTGTTTGACAAATTCTCAGCATCTTCTTCGAAATCATTTTTTGAGAATGTTTTAACTGAATTAGCAAATGCAAGAATAATAATAAGAAACAAAAGAATTTTATTCATTTTGTTAAATAATTAAAGAAACATTAATTGATTAATTTTATCGGTATATCAGAAGCAGGATAGAAATTTGTAAGTCTTTCCTCGCAAAAAAAACAGATTTTAATACCCTTTTTTTATCAAGTGTAGTTTTTCTCTAAGCTATTTCCACGTAGAACATGTTTGTGGCTAATAAATTCAAGAATTCAATCATGATTGAAGTGGAAATGGCAAGAATAGAATGATGTCTAATGAACGTCATTGTACGTACGTACAAGGTTTAATTCATACAAGTGTGGAAATCTGTACTTGGCACGGGGGCAAATATTTATTGACGAGTCAGTAGGTCAATATATTTTAGATAACGGACAAATTAACATATCGATCCGTGTTTTTTTTTAAGAATGTTATTTCTAGGAAGAGACCATATTATAGCATAGAGACATGGATAGAAACTCAAGTTCCCAATATTGGCTGATTTGTCGGTTTCGGAAAAATGGCCTTCGGAAGATTTTCCCAAGTATGTAATCTAAAGTGCTTGAATGGGGTATTACAGAAATATTTATTGTATAAACTTGTATGTAAGTAATGTATGCGGTTGTTTGCATAGATGTAAGCTAAAAAAAATTTACGAAAATATGTATGGTTATTTACGAAAGTATGTATGGTTAGCAACACATAGCATTTATTTTTTATAAGTGATCTTTTTTTAATATTACCCTTTTTCATGTTATATAGATTAATATAGGTTATAGGTAAAATCCCTAAAGAATTGCTTTTATGTGCTATACATACAATCTTAATTTCTACGATACATACTTCGTTAATTATACATAATATTTTTTCTATATACTCGTTTGAATGCTAAATAATTCATACATAGCATTTATGTGTGTATGTACGTACATACGTACGTACGTACGTCATAAAAATGATGTACATACATACGTAATTTTAAATTGCCCGTTATAAAAACCAGGATTATCGACATGCATACTAATTAATCGACATTTGGCGTGGCTTTTAAAGAACAAACAGGACCATTTAACAAGGGCGTCAAATGTATCCAGCTTTGGCTCTGAACATGTGCCAAAAAAATTTTTCCCGTCTGTTCGCGCTTACATGCACTTTCGGTGGCAAACGGCCTGTTTACAGAACATTGTAACTTAGTTTGGATTCTTATTATTAGATCAAAATTAAGATTAAAATCATTACTTACAGCATAAAACAATGTATAATTTGATCATGATCTATGTATTAAATTATTTTTTTGGCATCTGCAAGGGTTTAACCACTCAAAAACATTCCTCTAAATTACCTAAATAATACTATTGGTTGTTTTAATTGTGATAAAAACGAGTTGAACAATTTGAATTGACCCTGAAACGATCCTTAAAAGTTTATATTGATTTTATATATTGGTTGTATATATACCAATTGAAAATTAAGTTACTCAATTATAATATTAAAATATTATGATTTACACTTATCTACGTTTCTTTAAAAACATAAGTGTACACAATGCATGTTTACGGGACTCGCCGCGGACCATTAAATAATTCCCAAGGAGGTTTGTTTCATTTAAAAAAAAGAGTAACACGCGTTAAATTGTGTAAGCAAACGTTGGGTGCATGCATTTGTCTCGCGTTGTTATTATGATATAATTATTGTGATCTAATTACATTTTATCGCGCACTAAATTCTGATATTACTCGCGTTTAACTAATTTGTTTCATAAATGGGGAATAAGATTGGAAACTTGCCGAGATTGGTTAAACATTATTTACATTCAAAATAATAATGCATGCAGTTTGTAAACAGGTAAATGGTGAGATTTAAGTATATTGCTCTTTAGGACTGATAACGACACGGGACTTTTTCATGAAAAATATCCGTGTGAACTTTTTGTTCATTTTAAATGGAAACTCTGAGTCAGGCATTGAAATACAGCATTAATAATTTAAAATTCAAAGTGCTGCTATATCAAATTGTTTCCTTTAATGAATGTATGCAATAACGAATCATATTAAAAATAAGTTAAGAATAAATAGTTTCAATATGATTAGTCAATCAATATGTCGTGTGGCCATTAGATAAGATAACAGTAGATTGATAACTAAAAAATGGTGACAGCGAATTGGTATTTAAAGTTATTGTGATAAAAAACAAAGTATCCAATTTAACTCAATTTAAATGTGAAATGTTTCAAAACGTCACGCTATGATAATTAACAATTCGATCGTGAGGACAAGTCACAAATAACGCGCATGAAAGAATTATGGAGTCAAGTGTGTATATGTGCATGCTGTGAAACAATAAATTGGCAATATTTCTTTAAAAAAAGGATTGTGTTTGGAGGGAGGTCAATGCAGAGAACTAACCCGATCTGCTGCAAATGCAAGCGCCGAATAATATTGAATTATACTAAATAATATTGAATGATACCGAATAATAGCCGAATAATAGTTAGAACAAAATCTAATTATCATATATTCATCAATTCACGACAATCTATAGTTATAAACTGCTATCGCGTCTTACTATAATTGGACAGTAGAATCCCCTATTATCAAACCATAATCGCGATTTATGTTCGATCATTTTTAATTTTTATATTAAGGCTAATGCTAAATACTGAAATGGGAAAAAATTAAGTCACACAAAGTCCATCATTTATGTGCTATACTTTATTTCGTTCTTTTTGTTCGCCAATTTTCCTTTGCCAGGTATAATATTAACTTTATTGTATAAGTTTGCAGATCATTCATCTGAAGATCACAGTCACGTGCTATTATGTTCGCCTCCGTATATCATTAACCGTTCTCTGTTGAATATCATAGACTTCTAACGCTAACGGTAATTCATAACTTCATAGTATATCAGTCACGTGACGTGCGCGACATGTAACTCTATTACCAAAAATGTTTACATAATAACTTTCATTAAGCACGGATCATGCCGAAGGAGATCAGATCAACAACGATAGGGTGCAACAGGAGCGACGTTCAAATTCGTAGATGATTCTGATATCAGATATGGTATACAATTAATAAATAATTTTTTACGACAGGGTGAAATCTGAGTCACCAGCTAGTAAAATTCGCTATGTAGGGTGAAATCTGCTATGTAGATCACATGAGGGTTGAAACCCGCTTTTGTATAATAAAACATAGCAAAACTCGGATTTCACCCTAACTCAAACTCAGATTTCACTCTATATAGCGAATTTTACTAGCTGGTGACTCAGGTTTCACCCTGTTCTATTTTTTTTATACATTTTACAATACTTCTTTTAAAATTTAACGGATGAATTAATGTTTTTGCTTTGCTCTATAACATATACTTTGAATCCCCGTGAATCCCACAACTTTTTTTTTGTAATCTGATTGACACATGTGTAATTTGTATAGGAATCATCTACGAATTTGAACGGTCGCTCCTGTTGTAGGGTGCGTTAGAGATTTAAACTTTGCAATTTACATTTATTAACAAAACGGCTACCAACTATGGCGAATCATACGTCATATAAGGCCATCTTGCCTTTAAAATCGCCATTTTAATTGGCCTGTGCAATAAAGAATTTCGAATGGAACATTTTTTGATTTACGATTAATAATTTAGGAGTCTTTGTTCAGATAAAATGAAGAAGATAGGCATATGGCGGGAAAAACAAATAGCAGTTAAATAGGCTATTCCATATTTGTAACATTCCTTTGGTAAAATTGCCGAAATATAGATAATCACATAATATAACAAGCTTTTTCTTAAATAAGTTGCCCGGAATAATGATTTGTGAGATTTTTTGCTAAATAGGGGTTTAACAAAAGCTGTTTTTCAAAGCCCCAAAATAGATTAAACTAAATTTTTATGATGTATTTCTATATTTTGGAGTTTATATTTGTGTGCACCTGCACGACAGTGCATTCAAAATTAACCAGTTAAAATGCATTTTTTTAGTCACACGAATTTTAATCAATTTTATAAGAAAAAAAATTAAAAAATTTAATTTTATATTAGTAATTAAACATTTAAAAAAATTAATTAAATCTAATTAATATAAATTAATCTGCTAAACAAGGTTATTTTAAAAGATCAAGTTAACTATTTTAGTAAAAAAAATAAATAAAATTTATTAAATTTATTAAATTTATTTTTAAAATAATAATTTTGATTTAGAGATTTGTATTAAATTAAGTACTTTACAGCAACTTGCAAATTTGCAACTTTAATATTACTTGTAATTAGTTATAAAGTTTCTATAAAGTAACTATATAATTACTTGATAGTAGCTATAGTTATGCATTTACTACATATTAGCAATATATCTACTACTATTTACTACTACATTACTACTATTTTATTACTAATTTACTATGTATTTTACTATAATTTTACAACAAATTTTAAGATAATTATAGTGAAAATATAGTAAAATAACAGTTTTACAAAAATTTTTAATAAAATTGTAGTAAAAGTATAGTAAAATAGTAGTAATATAGTAGTAAATAATAGTAAATATATTGTTAATATAGGTTTATCATGAGGATAAAATAGTTCTAAGGGGCCTTAGCAGCAGTTTCTTTTTAAAGAGAATATCCGACAGTGCTAAATTGATCAGAGGGTTTAATTGAGTAATTCAAGTAATAGTGGGTTATAGGTATGACATCTAGTATAGTATTTAGTAATAGAGAACTACTTAACTAATGCTTAAAAGGTGCAGATATGGCTAGAATGTATCATCATTAATGTAACAAAGTCAGGGGTGGTCCTGCGGCTATCCTGGCATTTAATCCAAAGTTTAATAAAACGTGTCAGACCCCAAAGTAGTCATTTTAATATTAAAAAAATATATATATATATATTGTTAATATATAGTAAATGCATAACTATAGCTATTATAAAGTAACTATATGATATTTTATAACTAATTACAAGTAATTTTAAAGTTGTAAATTTGCAAGTTTCTGTAATGTATATTTTAAAAAAATTATAAAAATAAAAAATTGTATAGAACAAGTTAATAA